AGAAGTTCGGTATTGACCTCGTATTAATGATACGACACAAACAAAAAAAAACATTTAATTTTCTTCTGTAGCACTTACAGTCTTATTTTTCAAGAAAAGCGACAACGCTTTCTTGAAGAATTACAAACCGATTTTCCTTCTGAGCCGCGTCAATGTGTTGTTTTCTAGAATCATTACGAATCGTCTCGCATGCAGACTTGACATCTTCCAGCTTCCCGAACAAGCCGGTTTTCGAAAAGGCTTTAGCACTATAGACTACAAACATACCCTTCGGCAAATTGTACAGAAGTCCGAGGAGTACAATTTGCCACTATTTCTGGCGTATGTGAACTATAAGAATGCCTTTTATTTCGTCGAAATTTGGGTGGTGCTGCAGTCTCTTCAGCGATGCCAAGTTGACTGTCGGTATATCGAAATTTTGAAGTGCTTGTACAGTAGGGCTACGATGGTTATCCGAGTGCAGAACCAGAGCACGAAACCTATCCAATTGCAGAGAGGTGTAAGACAGGGTGACGTCATATCGCCAAAACTCGTCACCGCTGCATTGGAAGACCTTTTCAAGTTTCTGTACTGGAAAGGATACGGCATCAACATCAATGGCCAGTACGTCACTCACTTTCGATTTGCCTACGATATAGTGCTTATAGCAGAATCGCTGGAGGACCTAAGCACTATGCTCAATGACCTCAATAGTGTTTCACAACGGATAGGTCTTAAGATGAACATGGACAAAACAAAGATCATGTTTAATGTCCATGTCACACCTCTGCCGGTAGTTGTTGGGAGCACTAAGCTCGAAGTTGTTGACGAGTATGTTTACCTGGGACAAATAGTCTAACTAGGAAAGTCCAACTTCGACCGAGAAGTCAATCGACGGATTCAGCTCGGTTGGGCAGCGTTTGGGAAATTACGGCACATCTTCTCGTCAGGTATACCTCAAAACTTGAAAACGAGACTGTACAACCAGTGCGTGTTGCCAGTGATGACAAGTGGAACTGAGACGTGATCCTTCACTGCTGGCTGGATGAGGAAGCTCAAGGTCGCTCAGCGAGCTATGGATAGGGCTAATCTTGGAGTTTCTCTGCGTGATACAAACAGTATATAAATATCTTACAATAAAAAGAATTAAGATCTCCAGCAAATCAAAATTGCCCTAAAAGCGTTCCTCCAACATGTACTTTTGCGTTTGAAACTAGCAAAAGTCAGTAAAGGGCTATCAATCACTCCGACCTCCAGATTCTGTTCAAACGACAGATTTGTAGACGATTGTATCGCAGTAAACGATCCAATCCAGTTAAACTTCAAACTAAAAACAAACTCCAATCCTCACAAAGGTATCTTATCTATCTAAGGATTTATAAAAAATTCAAAGTTTGTACTTTAAGAAAAATAATGTTTTTTTTCAGAAATGACAAATATTCATATAATAAAAAATATGAATATGAATATATCTTTTCTTCTTTTTAAACGGCATATCCGGTCACGCCGTTATCAGAATCTTGTTAACTTTTTCCATTAATCTGATGAAAAAAAAAGAAAACGACGTTTTAAATTGAGCTCTATAATAAATTAATGTGAATAAAAATAAATATCAACCCTAGATTTCATATTTACGCTTTAAAATATTTAAATTTAAAATCTCTTTATACCTCTAGAGATAAAAAATACAGTAAGCGTTCGTTGACATAGATTGCAGATTTAAAAATTCTCGTAAAAGCTTATGAAATGTGATAAAAATTTAATATTCTTTACAAATAGCTGTCTTGCGTTGTTTGAGCTTCGCGTCAATAGATTTTTGTACCGTTTCATATCCTATACTACATACTATATTCTGGCGTTTATGTTAGAATTTCAGTGTTCATACTATACCAGAAAATATACTGCAGAATTTACGATGCTGAGTACTTGTTTAAAATAAGTACATTCTCTACATGTGCCAGACGGGTGAAACTCAGGATTAAATGTTGTCGAAGATACTCGATTCGCCTGCACCTATAGGTTCCGGTGGTCATCTACTGACGTGTTTTGGTGGGTGCGGTTGGGGTACTATGGACGGATGTCCAATCAAAATACGAATGGTAAGGCAGAGGCTAGCGGTTCGACGGCTCAACACTTCGGTGGAAATCTTCTAACAATCGGTTGTCGACTATGGTTGTTGACTACGGTTAGTCAACTACAGTTGTTCGCTACCGGTTGTTTTCTAAGTTGTTCACCTTTAGTTGTTCACTATATTCTTCAGATGATTTCTTCAGTTGATTATTTCTACCAATTGTTCGGTAGGAAATTTCTACAATGTAACGTGGTGGTTCTTCTCCTTGTTTGGAGGTTTTCGTGTGTTGAGGAGACCCTCTTTACATGGGCAGCATCTCAGGGGGACAGGACGACCCCCGATTCTGGGTGCTGCATTGGCAGCTTTTAGGTTGGTGTATTGCGTACTTCACGCCATCCAACTAGGTGTCGGGACGCTCACTCATCCCCGGCGTCCCCTGTGCCGGGCGCTGGGCGTAGAAGTTCACGTGGGAGTGGTCGTCCGTCAGGTGGGTGCGCATGAAGCGGTGCTAAATTTTTAACCGTCTCGCAGTACGGGCTACAAATTCATGAATGGTCGCGTGTGATTACGTTATTTCTGACGTAACGACCAGCTCCCACGATCACCAAAATTTTGTTGGGCCAAGCGCAAGATTTTGTTGGGCCAAGCGCAAGATTTTGTTGAGCCTGCAACCTCCTACGCTGAGTGGCTGAGGTCAACGCGTACCTGGCTAGTGCTGCGTAGGTCAGCCGCGAGCGGACTTAGGTTTTGTGCATGCCAATTTTGGTTTTAGTTGGAAGTTGTATACCAGTACAGTGTATAATTTTGCTCGCGCAGCTCTGGCCTGTCTCACTACGTGATCGAGGTTTGGTTGCCACCTTAGACGACTCGACCTGGCAACGTACAACGCACGCACCCTGAGGACTGACGAGAAGATCGTGGAGCTGGAAGAAGAGATAGACAAGTTGCGCTGGCATATTATAGAATTATCCGAGGTCCGAAGAGAGGGGAAGGATACGGTAATCCTCGAATCCGGCAACTTGCTCTATCACTGGGAGGGCGACCATCTGTCCCAAGGAGATGTCGGATTTATCGTCCACAAGTCTCTCGTTAACAACGTTGTAAAGGTCGGGAGTGTGTCTACGAGGGTTGCGTACCTTACACTCAGAATCACCAAACGGTATTCGCTGAAGGTCATACAGGTTTACGCACCAAACTCGGCACACCTCGATGAGGAGGTGGAGGAAATGTATGAGGATATCTCTAGAGCCATGCATTCCTCCAAAACCCAATATACGGTGTTAATAGGAGACTTCAATTCAAAACTAGGCACAAGAGAAAACGGTGAGCTGAACGTAGGGAAATTTGCAATAGGGCAACGGAACCCAAGGGGCCAGCAGCTGGCCGACTTCATGGAGAAAGAAAGAAAGAAAGAAAGAAAGGTTTATTCTCCAAAATGACGCCATCACAGGTAACTTAAAAAAGAAACACATAATTTACAAATAATATTGGCTATACAATACAAATTACAATATACTACATATTACAAACTATACAATACCAATACTCATATGTGTCAAGGCGTCATCTGGGAACAGGGGCACACTCAGCATAATGCCATGAATTTTTTTTTCTCTCCATGGCGCTGATTTTCAGTGTGTCCAACCAGTGACTTACCGAAATCAGTGCTATACGTATACTCATGACAGAATTATGCACAACAAGGGGGAAAGAAACAGTAACTATCTTAAGTGAGAGGGAGAGAGTAGAGTTCAAGGTCGAATGCCACTTCGACACAGCACGTCCCGTTTATGTTGCTTTCAGACGCTCTTAGAAGGGCTATACGAACACTACAAAGGGGAGATTATTAAAATACTATAATGGGCTATATACTACAAAAGGGAAATTATTAAAATACTATAAAGTGCAATATAATAAAATGACCAGATAATTAGTAAAAAAAAATGTAATTATTGAAGAATATAAAAGTATATGAGAAGACAAAAGCCGCATTCAAAAGGACGATTTTAATGCTCCGTTGTTAATAATCTATGACGATGAGGTACGTAATCGTGCAAAGCGTTATAAACTTTGATCAAAGTTAATCTGACTTTGCAGTAATTGTGTTCTATATTTATTTTTAAATGTGTGTACTGCTTTCAGATTTCGCAAAGGAGGCGGTATATCGTTCCAGCACTTGGATGCGGCGTATTTGAAACTTCCTCGGAAAGCGTGAGTGCGGTGACGAGGCACGACGAGAGTATTCCCTCTAGTGCGTGTATTGTAAGTTTTTACATCACGTGACCATATGAGTTTGTCAGCAAGATAAGGAGGTGTTTTATTTTTTAATACCCCGAATAGGAGAGTTGCCATGTGTAGTTTTCTGCGATATTCCATTTTTAACATTTTGGCATTGTTAATGTAAGGGGTAACGTGCGTGCGGGGCGGTATTGTAAAACTAAATCTTGCACATGCATTTTGAACACGTTGCACTAGACGTCGCGACCGCGCTAAAAGTCTCGGGCCATATACAATGTCCATATAATTAAATTTCGAAAGGACAAGAGTGTCACACAATTTTACCCGAATATCCGAATTTAAAAACTCCCTTATTTGATAAAGAACCTTAAATCTATAAAAGCAGTTTCTGCTAGTACTTAGTATGTGGTTCTCAAACTGTAGTTTGTCATCCATTAGTAAGCCCAGATTGCGAATCTCATTTACACGTTCTACGATTTCCCCTCGAATTTGGATGCATGCCCCTCTTTCTGATATATTTTTTATTTGATTTTTAGAACCCATAATTAGTAGTTTAGATTTAGTTCCGTTTAGTACAAGGCAGTTTGAGTCGCACCACGCGGCTATACTTTCGAGGTCTTCGTTGATTTTATTAACGACTTCTTGAGTATCACGCGGATTACATGACATGTAGACTTGCAGATCATCTGCGTATAAATGATATTTACAGTGCTTAATGTTTTTTTACTAAGTCGGCACTGTAAACTGAAAACAATATTGGAGCCAGGTTCGATCCCTGGGGCGCACCGGCTTTGATTTTTTTTGATTGCGAACGTATTAATGTTCCTCGGTCATCGCTCAGTTCTACAGTTTGTAGTCGGTTTTTAAAATAACTATCGAACCATTGTACTGCGCTGCTACTGAATCCATAGTAATGAAGCTTTGATAAGAGAAGGGAAACATTTATACAGTCAAATGCACGAGAAAAATCTAGTAATACTAGTATTGTGCCTTTTCCTTCATCTTGAGCAGTTAGTACATCGTCATTAAGTTGAGCTAGGGCCGTCGTGGTGCTATGGTTCTTACGAAATCCCGACTGCATTTCCGGTAGAATTTTTTTTCTATCTAAATACAAGGTTAGCTGTTCTGCGACAATTTTTTCAATAATTTTAGAGACACAGGGGAGAATACTGATGGGCCGAAGGTCTTTTTCAGACAAAGGATTTGAGTTCTTAGGTATGGGTTTGACTAACGCATGTTGCCATAATGTCGGATAGGTGTTAGAGTTAATGGATTTGTTCACCATAGCAGTAATAGTTGGTAGTGTTTTCGGAAGGGTCATACGGAGCATATCGAGAGAAATCCCATCAATGCCTATGGCTTTAGATTTTAAACTTTTAATGAATTTTAGTACCTCTAGTTCATTTACCTCCTTTATCTCAAATATGTCATTAACGCAGCAGTGGAACTCAAAGTACGTTAAATATGACAACGAGACGTTTCTATTTCCAGGCACGTTTAAAAAATAGTCGTTTATTTTATTTGGATCATTAAACAAGTCTATGGGGATATTGTGTTTTGGTTTTATCTTAACATTGGACTTTATATGTTTCCACATTGAAATGGGATTATTTATATTACGATTAACATAAAAATTATAGTAGGCTTGTTTTTCTCTATATATTGCTTTATTGACGCAGATTTTTAGATCTTTATAGTATTTAATATGTATGTCGTTTTTAAATAAAACTAATTTTAGCACTGCTGGTGCTGGAAAGCACCCGAAACGTCGGGAATATAAAAATAAGTTAAAAATAAGTTAATATACGCGATAAAATCCGTAAAATTAGTTTTATTTAAAAATGTGTAGTGTTCGCGTAAATATAAGAAATCATTATGTATGTCGTTTTTACTTTTTCTCATTTTAATGTATGCGTCATCTCGTTTTTTCATCATCAATTTTATATTAAAGGTTAGCCACGGAAATTGCTGATGTTTAATCGTTTTTTTTCTAAGAGGCGCGTGAATTTCGAATAGTGTAAGTATGGCTGTGTTAAATAGCACTACCTGATTATTTACATCCGCGATACTCTCAATTTCTTTCCAATTTATTGATGTAAGGTCCTTATGAAAGTCTCCCTCGTCTATGTCAGAGATTCTCCTACTCATTATTGTTACTGGTGCCGGCTTTTTTTTACTCATATCATTTTGACATGTAATAAAAGCATGACTACTTAATTCACGTATAAGTTCTACAGTAACTGCGTTTACTTTTATGTCGGTACATATTACGTCAATTAAAGTCTCGCTATATTCCGTAAAGTGGGTTGGCTTAGTTACATGCTGTTTTAATTTGAAACAAGTAAGAAAATTATTTAACTTTATAGTGGTATTATGCGTCATATTTAACATATTAATATTAAAATCACCGAGAAGAAGTAAGTTTTGGCTCCATGAAAAAGTCCCCATAGTAACGGTAAGCGCGTCTATGAATGTATCGACATTCAGCCACGGCGGTCTATACGCGGTACCGATAACGAGTTGCTTTCCGCCGCTAGAGGTCGAGATCCACATTTGTTCTACTAGCGGGGCCGGGGGGTGGGACAGCACGCGAACGCCGACGCCTCGCTTCACATAGAAGCCGACGCCGCCGCCGCGCGAGCGCACGTCGGGCGGACGCGGCGCGTGCCGCAGCCGGTAGCCGGGCACCGAGGCCGCGCGCCCCTCTTCGCCCTCCCGCAGCCACGTCTCATTGATGGCCATGATATCGACACTATGCCGTTGCATTGTGACAATAAATTCATCGTGCCGCGTTCCAAGGGACCCTGCATTTAAAAGACCAACTTTTACGTTACTTTTAGAAGCCATAAACGAATTTTAGATATACATATTTATTTGACATAATAGGTTCCGACGCAAAATTTAACTTTAGTTTGCTTCTTGTACAGACAAAATTAATTGTATGTGATTTGATAGAATAAATAATATTTATCGGGATACCACAAATTTTTAAATAGTTATCCATTGAGTAAATTTTCTTGTACCTTAATGTACTCGTATAGTAAATATTGTATGTATGTATTGCAGAACTTAAAGACAAAACGCTAGTGAGTCTTTTCAATACATTGATATTAGAAATTTGTGCCAGAACTAACCAGGATATATTATTATTCCACATACGAGTATAGTCATAGTATATTTCATTTGACAGAAATAGAATCCTAAAACAGTTCTTAAATAAAAATGCAAACACAATTATTAACGACTTACATAAAAATGAGCAATAGCAGAACAAGGTAATATTTAAAAAATTCAGATAATTATTACTTTTATATTTTTTTTCCATTGCTTCCGATAGCCCCAACTGAATTTGTTCCAAAAACCCTCTCGAGATCTACTTCACTTTTTATGCGCTAAGACGTTGTTCCGTGTTCTCGGCGAGTATAAATTTTTCCCTCTTTTGACCATACGTAGCGCCAATCAAATCGCCGAGCGAATTCCTTAGTTCTAAAAAATACATTGCGGTTCAATTTAGTAAGCCGTTCATTTATATAGAAGGCTCGTGTATTTTCGGAGCGGAGACCCAGACCTTCGGTAGTTAAGGAGCGGCGCACGCGCGCGGCCCGCAGCAGAGTGTCCCGCGTGTGCCTGCGCGCCAGCCGCACGACTATGGGACGGGGCTTCGCTAGCCTACTTTGCTCGTCGCGCATAAGACCGACTCGCACACAACTCACTATATCGCGCTCTTCTAGGGTTACGCCCAGCTTAGTAGCGCACGCAGTCACAATGTGTAGAACATTTTCTGCGCCCTCTTCTGGAATGCCTGCGACTTCGATATCATTGTACAGAAGCTCTTGGTCTCGATCATTTAAATTTGCTCTTAAGTCCGCAATAATCGTCTCGAGATCCTGAATTTTGCCGCAGACATTTTTGGACTCAATTGGGGTTTGTTGTTCTTCAAGACGGGTGTATTTGTTTTCTAATGTATCTAGGCGTTCTTCACACGATTTTGGGGAATTACGCAAATCAAACATCTCCTGTCGGAAAGATCTAAATTCTTCCCTGGTTTCTCGCAGTTCTTCTCTAAATCTACGTAGTTCGAGAGCTAGTTCCGACTCTTTGAAACCTTGCGCCACAGGGCTTTGGGGTTTCTCTTCGCCTTGCTTGATAATATACTCGGAATTAAGTCCTCGCACAGGCGTATTCTGATCTGACTTTCGGGGCGTCCGTATTTTACAGTCCGGACACAACCAAGTAGGTTGGACCTGCACACCTTCAGGAACTTTAACGCAGGCCCTGTGTGATTTTCTATCGCATTTAGGACACGTAACGCCCTCTGCCGCCGCCATAAACTTTCCGCACGCACTGCACTTCATCGCGTTAGTTTAAGTTAATTGCAATGTAATGATGCAGATAATTATCACTAGGTGTCGCCGACTATATATTGTAATTGACACTTTGTAGTTCGAGGGTAAATAGACGATGTACATTAAAGTTATTAATAAAGGTACCTCTTATATTTCACTTTTAGATGTTTTATTTAAATTTTCTTTCACCACAATCCTTAAGCACACACAAATAATTAATTTATTAACATATGCACCAGTTTTTAAAGTCCAGAAAAAAATGTTTCAAAACATCGATATCACAACTTTAGACGTAGATATTAATTTTTATTTCGCGACAAGCTTTGCTTACTTCTAGTAGCACTGACATCCGCAACGTCACTCTTTATATTTTTTAATAATTCATCATAAAGAGGGACTCTTTATGATGAATTATCGGATTAATTACCTACACTGTAGAAATTTATTACACAATAATCCCACTAGTTCTACTAGAATTACTAACATTATAAATATGGATTAATATCAAATCCACCTGCCAAGCGTTGCTTGGATGCAAACATCGAAACAACGGTTGGCAAGCGAATTAGTATCCGCAGTTTTTTTTTTAGTTGTTAATAAGAAGACGCTGCTGCCCATCTCCTGGTTTGTTTCCCTCTGTCGCCTCTTATGACACCCACGATATGAGTAAGAGATTTCAGAAAATCGCAGAACTCATTTTCCCAGACCGACTAAATGATTGAGCTCTGTAGTGCACGTGCACCGCTGGGGCCTTCTATATAAAAGAAGAAAAGTAAAATATAAATATTATTAAATTAAATAACGAAGTGAAACGATTGACAAAACAAAATATTATTACGGAATGGACGCAATACCGGATGTTACAAAAAATAAATAAATATGAATACGAGAGGCCACAATAATAATTTTATAGAAGCTGACTGAAAAATTAAAAAGTATAATGTACTCGTATGTGAAGTAATCTATACAAATAAATAAAATTGAAGTGTCTGTTTGTAATGTCAAAATTACAGTTTTTTACTAAATGCATATGAAAGTAAATACGATACCTATAACTAAAATACAATTTTTAAAATTTTTGTCTGTCTGTCTGTCTGTCTGTATGTCTGTCTGTTTGTTCCGGGTAATCTCCGAAACGGCTGGACCGATTTTGACGGGACTTTCACTGGCAGATAGCTGATTTCATAAGGAGTAACATAGGCTACTTTTATTTTAGAAAAAGAATCAGGGTTCCGCGCAGAAACATAAAAATCCTAACACGCGAACGAAGTCACGGGGAACAGCTAGTGTAATATATATCTATAAAATAACGATGAAGGCAACTAAAAAAGAATGAGGAAAATAAAAAGTTTTTTTTTTAAATAATGAACAAAGACCAAAAAGGAAGCAGTCTTTAGCGAGCATTGTGCAGTGAAGTATAAAAAGTAAACTGAAAAGAAAAAAGAAGATATAAGAGGTAACATCGCATCAGCGTAACTTTTTAACATTTTATTTTAATTATTCTTTTATTTTGTTTTAGGCTATATTAAATAAAAAAGTAATGCATTTAATATTAAATGTACGGTATTTACAAGTAACTTAAAAATAATGTCAGATTCTAACAATTTATACTATTTTTAGTAGATATAGTATTCTAAAAACATACATTTTACGATAAACAGGTTCGTATTAAAGGAAATATATTTTTAAATATAACCCATGTTTTTCTGTAGTAGTTTGTTGGTAGTTTAAATGTCTACAATTTTGAAGGATTTAAAAGAAATCACTATTAGTATAAGTCATAATTATTGTTCTTCATTTCTAAAGATATGAAAACCTTAAAATTGCTTTAAAGTTATAAATAAATAAACATATAACCTTCCAAAGAAAATTGACTCATAAAATAGTTATACCATATGTAGAAAATTTAAAAGTATGTAATTAAAAGGAATGAGGAATGAAAGAAAGGAATGTTCAAAAGTGTGAATACAAATGGTTGAGTTACTCGTATGTACTAAGTTTCGTCAATATTGGACTGATCACCCAAATATTTAATTATATTGTTACGAGCTTGGAATTCGAGACAATTAAAAACTGCCATTTGAATTAACAAAATTGACACTTTAATTACAGAACAGTAATTACAACTTAAAACCACACTAATAACCACAATTGATCACTTTAGTTCGCAGTGATATCGCTTCGAAGTAATCGCTTGTATCGCCAATTCAATACTGACTCGGTCGTGGTCTATACCGTCTTTGTATAGGGCCTCAGATAGTTTCCAGAACCTTCTACCGTATAAACATCTAGTATGTTCGAGTACATATCGGTCCCGATATTTCTAGAAGGATCTTGACTCTCCTAGTTCTGCTACTCGATACTAGAGGGCGCTAGTGGTAACAAGTGTTGCCATGTACAAGGCATTAATAGTGGCGCGCAACACTGCCCCCTCCTAAGAAATGCTCGTCCCGAGCATTATTGGCATTATTAATAACGCGCCAGTCGAACCACATGGACGATCTTAGGAGTACCTCTTCTAAAACCAGTCAGCACCCGTCAGTTTCCCTGATGTTGGTGGACGGTGCTGTTAGCTACACAACCCTCTCGAGATCGATCACCTTCCCTTTCTACAGTTCGCTTAGGGCAGCTGGATCGAAGATGGCCCCTTTCCCCACAGCGCGGCTTCCACCTCCAGTGCATGAGCCAACGCGTCGTTAAGTGTCTCGTGGTGCCCGAGCCTAACAGCAGCTCTGACTTCAAGGTCGCGGATGCCGTCGATGAATTCTGCACTAGGCTCCCTACAATGAGCGCAGGTACAGACTGGTATGCTTTTAGAACTAGCTTCTCCACCTCAAGGGCCCACTGCTGCTGGTTTTCGTTGCTGCGTTGCATGCGATCTTTGAGCTACACACGAAGGACGTGTTCCAGGTGAGAATTGCCATATATTGCCTCCAACGACTCAAAAAGCTGCTTGTAAGTCACTTCCTTACCAAGAGCTTCCAGAAAGTTTAAGGCCTGGTCGCGCAGGCCTAGGGTGACAGCAGTCATGGCCTGACTTGTATTCCAGTCGTTGGCCTTCATGACAACCTCGAATTGGGTATTGTAGCCTGACCAGGAAGAAGTCCCGTCGAACTGCGGCACTTTGAATCCACATAGCGAAGGTGTTGTAGCTTCCGCCGGAGCGTTAATTTCATCTCCAATATTGAGGTGATCCAGCGTTTTCTTCACGTTAGCCATCACGTTGTCAACCCGATTGTTCACTTGGTCGATTCGGGTTTCAGCTTCCGACAGGCGGTTGTCATGTTGAGCAACCCTGTCCATCACCTCCCTTATCTCTTTCCCGAAAGTAGCGTGAAGGTCCTTCCTGAGGAGCATCTGATCTTCCATACCGCGCTGCAGCTGCTCTTCCAACCAACCATCCCGTTCCTCCTTTCGGCGGGCCTGCTCCTGCAGCACCATCGTCAGAGCATCTAATTCAGGTGCTGCAGATGCAGGAGCTGCTGATGGGCCGGCTTCCGTGGTCGGCAGCTGGCCCTCCGACGTCTGCGACGTTGCACCACCAAATCGTCTCTGGTCCGTCTTGTGTTGGCGTTCACTTCCGGTACGGATACCCACCGTGTCGTTTTCAGGTTAAATCGGCATATTTGATCCCACTTTAGTTCACTTTAGTTTGCAGTTATATCGCTGCGAAGAATTCGCTTGTATCGCCAATTCAATACTGACTCGGTCGTGGTATATACCGGCTTTATATAGGGCCTCAGATAGTTTCCAGAACCTTCTACTGTAGAAACATCTAGTATGTTCGTGTAAATTTTTTTGCAATGCCTGAAAAAGGCTACTAAGTTGAGACAAATTTTTATTATTATAAGACCATTAATGTACACTTGGTTGGCAAATAAAGATTGATTGATTGATTGATTGATTGAATATCGGTCCTGAAATTTCTAGAAGGATCTTGACTCTTCTAGTTCTGCTACTCGATACTAGAGGGCGCTAGTGGCAACTAGTGTTGCCATGTACAAGACATTAATAGTGGTGCGCAACAATATTTATATTGTGTGTATGAGTATCAAATTTAATAGCATGACTTTTACTAAGGATGAGAATAATAAGATAGAGCCTTTGATATAAGACACTTTCAAATCTTAGCTTAGCTTACTGTTTGACCGCCAGAAATCTCAAAGAATGATTCCATAAAAAAGCGCACACACGATTTCGCAAAATCGTTGAAATCATTTTCCAAGATCGATTAAATGATTGAGCACATATGAAATATATTAATATTTAACTATAACTCTTTATTACTCTTGTAGCCGATGGGAGGAGAAAGGGAGATCTCCCGCCGGGCAAGGTGTTCTGCCCGGGGAACGGCCAACGCTCCGATTGGTAGTTCAGAGCTATTCTAGATATGCTGCTTTAACTTCGGAACTTTATTAGTGCGATCTAGGCTTCGGTGTGATTCGCTCGTGACGCGACGATAGCGCCGCCACATTACCCCCTGCTCAGACCGGAGGTTGATAGTGTAGTCTAGATGTCGACGAATTTGCAAGTGCCAGGGAATTGCCTTGTAAGTCTGCGGTGAGTCGAGAAGAAGGCAAGTAATCTGCGAGAGTGCCGTGAAGCAGAGGCGAGCAGTAAGGCTCAGAGCCGTGCCGAACACTGTAACGCAGAGAGTAGCTTGAAGGAACAGGAAGCATTATTTTTCCAGTGCTGCTATGAACCCTTGTAAAGCTAGATGACTTGCAGAATGTGAAGACTGCAGACAATATCTGCTCGGGAGCGAATGAATGGGGTACTTGTGGACGATGACGAAGGTTTTTGAAGTTGTATTTTCCGAAGTTTGTTGGTTGCGTGTTCATATCACGTCGGGTGCTCACCAATGTGGCCGGTGGAAGGAAAAGGGAAGATCTCCCGCCGGGCAAGGTGTTCTGCCCGGGGAGCGGCCAACGCTCCGATTGGTAGTTCAGAGCTATTCTATATATGCTGCTTTAACTTTGGAACTTTATTAGTGCGATCTAGGCTTCGAT